CTGGAAAATCGCAACTTTTAGATACAAATGGCTGGAAAATCGCAACTGTAAATTGCAAATGTAGCACGCGGAGCGCCTCCGCCGCTCCAGCTTTTTGAGGGTTAATTACTTCACCTGCCAGTTTCTCATGCCGAAACTTCGAGAATTACTTCACCTGCCAGCTTCTCATGCCACCTTTTCGAGAGTTACTTCACCTGCCAACTTCTCGTGCCAACTTTTCGAGGAGTTACTTCACCTGCGAGCTTATCATGCCAACTTTTCGAGAGTTACTACACCTGCGAGCTTCTCATGCCAACTTTTCGAGAATTACTTTACCTGCCAACTTCTCATGCCAACTTTTCGAGAATTACTTTACCTGCCAACTTCTCATGCCAACTTTTCGAGAAATACTTTACCTGCCAACCTCTCGTGGCAACTTCACCTGCCAACTTTTCGAGAATTACTTCACCTGCCAACTTCTCATGCCAACTTTTCGAGAAATACTTTATCTGCCAACCTCTCGTGGCAACTTTTCGAAAAATTACTTCACCTGCCAGCTTCTCATGCCAACTTTTCGAGAGGTACTTCACCTGCCAACATCGCCTGCCAACTTTTCGAGAGTTACTTCGCCTGCCAACTTCTCGCGCCAACTTTTCGAGAATTACTTCGCCTGCCAACTTCTCATGCTAACTTTTCGAAAGTTACTTCACCTGCCGGCTTCTCACGCCAACTTTTCGAGAGTTACTTCACGCGCCATCTTCTCGTGCCAACTTTTCGAGAATTACTTCACCTGCCAGCTTCTCACGCCAACTTTTCGAGAGTTACTTCACCTGCCAACTTCTCATGCCAACTCTTTGAGAGTTATTTCACCTGCCAACTTCTCATGCCAACTTTTCTCTTGAGTTACTTCGCCTGCCAACTTCTCATGTCAACTTTGCGAGAATTACTTCACCCGCCAACTTTGCCAGCCAACTATTCGAGAGTTACTTAACCTGCCAGCTTCTCATGCCAACTTTTTGAGAATTGCTTCGCCTGCCAACTCCTCATGCTAACTTGGCGAGAGTTACCTCACCTGCATCAACTTGCCTCTATGCTTCCGGGCCACTCGTCGTCTAGTTTTTCTCTCTTTTTTCTCCTTGCCCTTTCACAGCTCCACTTCTGCTTGTTGGCCTTGGTAGATTGCGACGGGAGCCACATGTGGATGTGCGGGAGCCACAGAAAAACACCCAAAACGCACCATAGCGGGTCTTGTTCATCGAAAGTTGCCAGTTGATTTCTGTCAATGTATCCATAGTTTAGAGATCACAGGTCACATCGCTGTTATTTTTGTTTCTTTCGAAGTCTCGGCTCCGCACGACAGGTCTATGGCGGTGAGCTACGGACAGGTGCGATTGAGCAATGGGGAAGCCATGGGAATTCTTCAGCCCCTGGAGTTGCTCGAGATTGGATTCCAACCCCGTTGGAGTTTTGTCGGATTTTGTTGCTGCGGGGGTGTTGGGTACTGCTGTGATTGCTTGGACTTCAAGGCAAACCTTGAATTGAATTAGGATGGCAGGAACCCGCTGGTTGTCGTGGTTGGTGGGGACACCCTGTAAAATCCAACACGCGGTCGCTTTCGATAAAGCTGATGAGTGTGATTTGCACAACCTCAACCTCGATAGCCCCTGTCCATGCGGCTGGCACAATGCACGTGGCCGGGTCCTATCCCTTAAGACCCGTGGCCAATGAAGCGGCCTCATGAGCTTGCCCTTTGGGTTGCCTGGTGGTCCTTGGGTTTCTGGGCTCTGTTGTGTGTGTGCGCTGCTGGCAGATGTGCTTGGAACGGGTAATGCGAGCCGGCTTATGCTGGAGTGACGGGGCGAGACACTAGCATGCTTTCTTGAAGCGGCTGAATTCATGGCTTTCTTGAAGATACTTTTTCTTGAAGCGGTTGCTTGGATGACCATGGCTATCTCAACCCGATACGGGAATGCAGTGAATATTACAGCCTTCCATTTTTGGAGACGGACATGTACTCCCGGGAGAAGACACAACAAGCAAAGTCACAAATAGAGAGCGCAAACGGTTACACTGACAACAATCGATGACCACAGTATAGCTAATAGCTAGAAGGATCGGTTCGTGAACTTGAGAATGGCACAACTAAGTAGCTCAACAGTGCCCTTTTGGCCAAGCATAGGCAAGCCACAGGTTCTGTTTCCTTGAGCGGTTCCTGATTTGAGAGTGGTGTATGGCGAGCGCCAGGGAAATGGATTCCTAGCTTGCAGATGTCTCAGTTTGGAACGTCACCCTACCGATCCATTCTTAGTTTGCCATTCCAAAGTTGGTGTTAAAGATCCACCAGAGGGAAACAAGTCCAGCGAAAACAAACGTGTTGACAGGTTTGGTTTAAGTATGGCCTACCAGCCACGTTGAACATGAAGCGGATACAAAATGCAGCTGAGTTCTATACTAATACATGTTGGTTGCATGTCTCTGTATACAAATCAGATGCATGAGTCAACTTGTCAGACGTATGTCTGCCAGGTGGAGCAGAACAACGCGGAGCTACGCGCTGCCCTGGCCCGGGCCGTTGGCTTCTTTGGGATGGACGTGTGCCAGGGGTCCCATAGGGAAATACCCTTCTCCAGCAACCATTGAAGACGGAGGTTTCCCACAAGGAAAGTAGTCTTCAACCCTGGTGTCACTAGGTCCCCCAGTAGTGCCCTTCTCTCCCCTTTTTTTTGGGGGGAGGGCTCCCCTACTAAAATTGACAGAAAAAAAAGGGTACCCTTGGTCTAACCTCTTTAGTGGAGGACCAAGGTCAGCTTACATTGTTGGACTTCTTTGGGCTGACTAGGCCGAACAAGACTGGAACCACTCAAGCGGGGCTCTTGAAATTAAGCCTCCAGCCAACTTCCGTGTGCTCCATAGGCCAATCCTCCACAGCTCATTGGTGGCAGAACTACATGTGCGGCCGCTTGCGTTGCAACCATGAAACATAGATGTGTGAAACATGTGACCAGTTTGAGCATTCCAAACGTTTAGAGCCCACTTGTGCGATAGCTGACTGCCTGATACTTCATAGCTGGTTCCCACGTTCTTTCAACGTTTCTTCGAATCTTGCCATATACACCCAGTTACCTGCCAGCTTCCCTGGTCTGTTCCCTATCGATTTTTTTGTTTTTGTTACGGTGCGGAATATGTGATTGAATTGGTTTTTTGGCACCACTTTACTTTGCAACGGGCATTCCTGTTTTTTGCTCTAGTTTCAACTGAACAACAATCACATCTGATGACTCTCACATGAGCCGATTTTCACTGTGCAGGAGCCACTTTCGGTTAGCTTGGGCGATTTGCCGCAGTTGGAACCTTCGGTTGGCTTCCAGAGTGATTTGCCGTTGGAACCTCAGAGAAAGGCGTTTGGGGAAAAGCCGCTGGTTTGCAGCGCTGGCGCTCGCTGCTTTTGGCTTTGAGTCCACTAGACCAGAGTGCTTCCGTTGCCGTGCGCTCTGGTAGCCTATTTGGCGCATGTCTACGTCCACCTTCCTCCCACGATGTTTCCTAGATCGTTTTTTTTTTAAACGTATGCCTTGCACCGGCTGCTTTTGCGGCTCAAATAAGTTTCGTTTGGAGCTAAGCTCCACATACAGAGTGTGCTGGAAGTGTGTGACAGTGCCGGGCTCAGTTGACCCGTGTGGAAGACGAGATGGGGTTTGGGGATAGACCGGGAGGCTCATGAGCACTTTGAGCACTTCAATTCTAAAGCTGCCAGGATCATTTCGAACACAAGCAATTGCCACACGTATAGCTGGGTTTGGCCATGGCACAGATAGATACTTGAGAACTCACAGCGTTGCTGCAGCAATGCCTGGAGAGAGCTTGATTTTGGATGCACCGGAAACAACATTCAGCAAGAATTTGACGGCGAACGGCAGATGAGTCTTTGGATGTGTGCAGCATTGGTAGACAGAGCGAGAGAAAGAGAGAGAGGGAGAGAATGGGCAACTTGGAACTTTTTCTGTTCTCAGCTTAGTTATGTTGTTGTTTTCTCAAGCATATACTTGACGCTGGCACTAGCGCAGACAGCACCAGCCCATGCATACCCGGAAACACACAGAGACTGGCAAGCAGCCCAGCACATTTTACTTTAGCATGCAGAAGTGAAAGGATAAAGTACCATATTGCCCGCCTCAACTTAGCCGCTACATAATTTATATATTTCTTGAATTGAGGTGTGTTTTCAAGCCAGTGATCGATTGACGCCGGGAGTTTGCATTATATATATATATAATATGTATGTCAACATTCTGTGTATGTTTACACGCACTTGTACATGTATACATAAATGATAAATGGTACCCAGCCCCGTACCAAGGTCCAGGCATGGTTCACTGGTTTCTCCGGGTCCATTGTTTAACGTGTTGGGAAAAGCCATGGAATGACAGCCTTGGCTGTAATCCTCCGAGGCTGCTGTAAAGTGATGCAGTTTCAGAGCTGAGGCTTCAAGATTCGCCAACATGTTCAAGGAAATACTGAATCCCAAGGCACAACATACTGTGCCCATCGCTCAAGCGTCCAAAGCAAATACCACGTTGCAAACAGCACGTAGCAGGCCCAACACATGCTAGAATCGAAGGTTTGCCCTATCACTGGGATGAATATGGATTGCAGGTCATTTCAAACTTGCATTTCACAAATTGGCTGAAAGGTTTGACTGCAGCCCGCCGTGCAAATGGTATGTCCAGCCCTTGTTGCCAGAGTGCAAGAGTCCAGAACTTTGGCTGTTGGGCGTGTTGTCCTGTCCAGATGCGGTGTGGATTTGACGGCGCTCAGCTATACAGGCTTCAAGAATAGCCAAAGCTGAATTTTATCTCTGTAGCTAACACATATATGTACATAGTATTAGTCAATCTCGGTCGGTTGAAGGAGATAGCCTACCCTGTGTGTGCGGGGCACATGATACTCTTGCCTTATGCAGATTGATGCTGAAGAAACAAACACTGATTTTGTTTCAGCCACTGCAGGTCCTTGTCTTCGCAATGGTGCAGCCTTCCATCGCAAGCGCAGCAGCTGCAGCAGCAGCAGGGAGCCTCAATTCCTATGTTTGTAGTTGTCGAAACAGACTCCACCCCACCGTATTTTGACCCAATCCCATGTGGCTGTAGGTCAAAAATAGGTACCCCAAATGGAACACTGGTAAAGTGGAAACATGGATGAAACCTGCGGTCCCCTGGTGGTTTAATTCTGACCCAATCCCACGTGACCACCAACACAAGAAGCAAAGAATAACCACACGCTCGGACAATCCCCAATAGCCCTAAAATGGGGACAACATACAGGCCAATGAATTCGATTCACGCAGAGAGGCATACTGCATACACACATACACAGATATGCAGACATGCATACATGCATACATTCATTAACAACACACACACATGTACGCGCATGAGAGTGTTCGCATGCATGTATACATTCAGACGCAATGTTTATTGATCGTGGGGTGACCACACATGCCAATCACACATGTGTATATACATTAATACATATATATATATAAACATATATATATATACACGTGTATCATATATACAAATACATACAAATACATTGTGTGTGTGCATTAGCGGCAGCTGGCCCCCCAGCCAGGCCAGCGCTTCTGGTTCCTTCTCCTTGGACTGAGGCGAACAAGGACCGCTCTCGCTACGAGCTGCAGCTGCTCAGCAGCATTTCCCGGTTGGAGGAAGCCAACTGAGTTTGGCCCATGAAGGATCGATTTGTTGGGCAGAGCCTGGGAGCCCTTTTGGCTGGCGCGTGGAATCCAAGCAATTGATCCTGCGTGATCAAACGGCACACCACTTTTTCTTCAGAAGCTGGAGTTGGCCAGAAGGAGCCGAGTTGCTGGAAGCTGGTCGGAAGGGGTGAAATCTAGAACCGACTTTGTTCAGATTTGATTCGCGTCCGTTTCAGGAACAATGGTATCGATCGCAATGCAGCGAGCAAGCCTCGGAGACATCTGAAACTGGCGATATTGGAATTATGAGTGGGTGCGCTTGCTGTTGGAACCTTCCCTTAGATTCACCGAGGGGACAATGTGCCAAATTGGTAAAGCGGTTATGTGCCAAATTGGTAAAGCGGTTCAGGGGCTCCCGAGTCGCGAGTCGCTATCCTTGGATCTACGGAGGCTGTGAGCAAAAGCACTGACGTCAGGACGTGCCCGACAGGACGGTGTTGCCAGTACTATCTGCCTTCCTTTTGCGAGGGTGTTTTTTTTGCATTGTTTTGTAGACAAAGCAAAGGAACACCAATGTAGTGTGACATATTTTGATTTGGTTTGAGCACCCATCCCCAGGTTGGCACCTCACACGGTCAAGACTCAAGGGGTATGCGCATGGGAAGGCTGCCTGGAATCAAAATGAAACAGGGTCTGCTTTGGAGATGGGCGAAGGTGTGATGTATCAAGATCGCAAACTGGAGACTCTGCTTTGTTTTTAGGGGAGCCGCAACGAGCTCCTACAAGCGGATTCCAGCTTGCGCCAAAGGATGATCAGTGTAGTATCCGAAAGGAACCAAATGGTTGGAACCTAATTAGGGTCCTCCAAACTTTGCATGTGTTGTTTGAACGCCTGCTGGCCTGAGCAAGCCGGAGCGGAGCCAGACTGGCACGTCAGTGATACACAAGCGCTTGGGGCAAGCTGCCTGGGTCCTTCCTGGTGTGAACTGCAGCCACATCTCATGATCCACCATGTGACTTGGCATGCCTGTTTTTGTGCGCTTGATACTAAAACTGCCGGGTAGTTTCCATAGCTCGTTGCTTCCCTAAACGATACTAGAGAGAGCTGCTGAGCTGGCAGCTCTCGCGCCAGAAGATGCTCCGAGGTTCTACAAGACGCGGACCTGCTCCTTCTTCCAGAAGGGGAAATGCACCCGCGGTGAGAAGTGCAAATACGCCCACGGTGACCGGGAGCCACTGGGCTGGCGCTAGAAATGTCTTTTGGGGAACTTCTCATGTAAGGGGTGGACCCATTTGCTCAAGCAGATTGTCTTTTTCCCCTTGTTGGCTTTACAGGAACCGACCTATCACTGGATTTGTTTTGGGGATTTAAGCAAACGGAGGTATGGGAAAGTGTTTTTCAGGGAACTTAAGCAAATGCAGGCATGGGAGAGATCAGGGCTCTCCCGGAAGGCGTTGGTGGGGCCACTGAAATTCAACAAGCTTCAGCCGGATGGGTTGAAGTAGTTCCTCCGTTGCATGCGATTGATGCCCCCCCCAATTGCTTGTATGATCACCTTAAGAGGCATCGACATAAAGCAAAGAGCTGCCCCAGTGCTTATGGCGATGAGCATCTCAAGCAACAAATGTGCAGGCTCATCAAACGCGCTGGGAGTTGCCGTGGTAGTGCAGCGCGTCAAAACTACACAGACATGTTCAAATATAATTTTAACTTGGTTTGTGAATCGGAGACTTGTCATGCGGTTTACAGTTTTACCGACACCAATCTGGGATTTCACCGGACACTGCAATATGGGGCAAACAAACAGATCAGTACCTATATAGTTGGTGGTTCAAAGCAGCTTTCAGAAAAGATTCCACAGGGTTCCAGGGGGTTCCGGGCTGATGGGGATACCGCCTGGGAATAGCTGGCATTATATCTGCCGCCATGCCAAAAGCTTCGGAAAAAAAAAAAAAAATGTTGGGAAGTTGCTGAAAACCGGGCGCTTTACGGCTGCGGAATTCTCCAGGGTTGGGCTCCCCCCTCTCAATCTGGTGCTCCGGGCGCGCGGAGAGAACTGAGTCGTGCCCGATGCGCTGAGCAACTGGCCACATGTTGCTTTGGGAGAAGGACTTCACGCACGGATCAAGAAAAGCCGGAATCCAACCCCTTGAAGCTTAAGGGAACCGCGTGGTTTCCTGGTTGCTTCACGGGGCGGCCTAAAATTCAATCGTTTGTTCGCCAACGAAACGGAACTCTCTTCATTTCGCATGCACCGTGGAGTGCTCTGATGTCGTGCTCTGAAACACGCCTGCTAAGGTTGAAGGAGAGGCCTGACCTGACCTTCACCTCCCTGTGCCGTGCCTTCGGCAAAACCGTGCAATTCCTTGCGAGGCTGTGGATTGAAAGGCATAAAGACTGCTGCGGCATTGGGGCCTTCATTTCAGTGAGCTCTTCTCAGCACGCGGACAAAAGTATTGCAGAGTCTGAGCTCATGTAGAGGCCATGGTTGTGTTTGTTTTGAGATGCTGGTATCTTGCCCAGCCACTGTTTGGGCAGTCCGACTAGACGTCACAAATGGAGTCAATGGAATGTGTTTGTGTGTGTGTGGCAATGTGGTTGCGCTTGTTTTCGTGTGTGGTGTGTTTGCGTGGGAATGTTTGTGTTTGTGTGTGTGCGTACGGATGCGTGTGTGTGTGCGCGTGTGCACATGTGCATGTTCTGTGTTTGTGTCTGTGTGAGTGTGTCAGTGTGTGAGTGTGTGAGTGTGTGAGTGTGTGAGTGTGTGAGTGCGTGTGAGTGTGTGAGTGTGTGAGTGTGTGTGTGTGTGTGTGTGTGTGTGTGTGTGTGTGTGTGTGTTTGTGTTTGTGTTTGTGTTTGTGTTTGTGTTTGTGTTTGTGTTTGTGTTTGTGTTTGTGTTTGTGTTTGTGTGTTTGTGTTTGTGTTTGTGTTTGTGTTTGTGTTTGTGTTTGTGTTTGTGTTTGTGTTTGTGTTTGTGTTTGTGTTTGTGTTTGTGTTTGTGTTTGTGTTTGTGTTTGTGTTTGTGTTTGTGTTTGTGTTGTGTTCTGTGTTGTCTGTGTGTCTGTGTGTCTGTGTGTCTGTGTGTCTGTGTGTCTGTGTCTCTGTGTCTCTGTGTCTCTGTGTCTCTGTGTCTCTGTGTCTCTCTGTGTCTCTGTGTCTCTGTGTCTCTGTGTCTCTGTGTCTCTGTGTCTCTGTGTCTCTGTGTCTCTGTGTCTCTGTGTCTCTGTGTCTCTGTGTCTCTGTGTCTCTGTGTCTCTGTCTCTGTGTCTCTGTGTCTCTGTGTCTCTGTGTCTCTGTCTCTGTGTCTCTGTGTCTCTGTGTCTCTGTGTCTCTGTGTCTCTGTGTCTCTGTGTCTCTGTGTCTCTGTGTCTCTGTGTGTCTGTGTGTCTGTGTGTCTGTGTGTCTGTGTGTCTGTGTGTCTGTGTGTCTGTGTGTCTGTGTGTCTGTGTGTCTGTGTGTCTGTGTGTCTGTGTGTCTGTGTGTCTGTGTGTCTGTGTGGGTGTGTGTGTGTGTGAGCGCGCGTGTGTGTGCGTGCCTGCGTGCCTATCGCCGGACGAATTTGGCTGCGCTCCAGTTTTGTCCCTGTTATTGCGTTGGTAGCTGCCGCGAATCAGCAGCTGGAAGGAACTTGAACGCAGACGGCATGTTCAATACGCGAAGTGCAAATCAGAGTTGCTTCCTTCTTGAACCAAGAAGACGGGTGTTGTTTTCACGTGCGCATTGGCAACTCTCAGTTCCCCGTGTCGTCGTGCCTGGTGGCCGTTTTGTCCCCGCACCTGAAGGTGGGTTTGTTTGCAGTTGGGTTTCCCTTAAACCAGCCTGGACAGGCTACCCTTCAAAAAGTTGGGTAATTATGCGTTTTCCTTAAACCAGCCTGGACAGGTTGCCCTTCAAACATCGCAATCGCACACCCAGGCGAGTTTGTCGCTACCGGGGCTTGCAACGATCCCACCTGCTCCTTCGCGCACAACCCTGGGCAGCTGCGAGCCACCGGAAAGTTCTACAAGGCCATGCGGAGGTTCCCCCTTCATGCTGTGGATTGACTGAATCCTGCACCGCTTTGAACCATGGGAGACCATTGGTATTTACAGGGGAACCATCATTCCAAGGTTTCATTGGTGGTGCAGGATTTAAACCCACTCGATTTTTGGGAGCCCCCTAATTGCACACATACCCCGGTACACAGTTGGTTATGAAATCACGCTGAAACACACCCATGAAACAAACGGATTTGTCATTGCGACCAGTGTCATGATGTTTGAAGATACCTTTGCACGGGATTGTTCATCAAGCACAGTCTTTGT